TTTATCTTCTGTATATCTTGTTTGTACAGACTTGTTTGCATGTCATATCCCCCATTGGAATGTAGCTCCTTGAGAGCAGGGACTGTCTTTTGTCTTTCTTTCTATCCTCCGCTGTACTTTATACAATGCCTGGCACATAGTAGGAACTTATTAAATGCTTGTTGACTTGGGGTGGGGGGTGTGCTGTGGAATGTTCCCTGTCCTTAAAAATATATAATCTAGTGTAGGGGAGACCATCCATTGGCCCCTTCTGGTAGGATGCATATATTCTGGCCCTTTGATAAAGGAAATATATGACTTAATTGTGTTCCTGGTTTCTTGGTCACGTCAAAGAGGACTCACTGTTGCAGGAAGAGCATCCCATTCTGCCAGGTACAGAAAGCAAGGAATTCCTCCCGGTCTCTTTTATAGCAGCTTCTTTGCTGAGGCAACAACATTGTCCAATACCAGATCCCAAAAGGGCACAGGGATTTCTCTCCTCTCTCTTCTCCACCCCCTTCTCCCCTCAGCAGAAGCTAAGGGAGTTGCAGACATGTAATAACAAGAACATTTATTTGCCTAAGCAAGCCCAAGACTGCTCCTCAAGTTCTACTTTGTGTTTCCTTCCTATGCTTAGGCACAGACGACCAAAAAGTGATTCTGAGAAATGAACATTTCCAGCCATGTCAGCTACCTCATGAGTCTGAGAAATCAGAAGTTCCTGTACTACTCCAGTTCTCAGAGGAGAAGTTACAACCCTGCTAAGAGAAACCACCAGTAGAATTCTTCAGCCAAAGGGCTAGAGCCAACACCCTAGATTTCCTGGACATCTGGATTTGTGACAGCATGGGTTGCTGTTGTGCATCTTTCATTCTCAAAGAGACTAGTGATGTCACGAGGGTAATGTCTTCACTTGCTCATGAATCAGATTTAAGTGAGGCAGACCTAGGCAAAAGAGTCATCCTTACTCTCTCCTCCAGAGTCATTGGAGTCCAGTGGCAAGACATAAGTCAAGACAACTAGCCCAGTGACACTCTGGGTCAACAGTGAGAATGAAATACCACAAAGCATCTGCCTCACTTAAATCCAATTTATGTGCAAGTCAAGACATCAACCTGTGATATCATTGGTCCTTTTCAAAAATGAAGGATAAAAAGCAATGTTACTAGACCACAAAACGTTTCATGTAATATATTTTTTTGTTTTCGTAAAATAATTGGGGTTAAGTGACTTGCCCAGGGTCATATTCTAAGTGTCAAGTGTCTGGTTTTGAGACCAGATTTGAACTCAGGTTCTCCTGACTCTAGGGCTGGTACTCTACCCACTGCACCATCTAGCTGCCCTTCCATGTTATATTTTTAGGGTATACTTACGAATCATCTGTTTTGTTCATTAGTTTTTGGGTGGAGGAAATAAATAGCTTTCCTATACCTGAAATCTGCTACTTTGTACAGTGAGCACTTTTCTAGGAGGAACTCAGCTAACCCACTTTTGGAGAGGCTCAAGACATGTCAGACTTAAGTTTTGTTTTAGAGATGTGAACTACCTCAATATTAGGAGGGGCTTATATAACAAGCCATAGAGTACTAGCAAGGGGTTTGATTCCCCTCTTTGGGGACAAGCTTGCCCATAATTAAATTCTGGCTCTGTATGAGATCAAAGCCGGGGCCTCTAGTAAGAAAGGGCTCATGGTCATCACTACTGCCACCATCACCACCACCACCACCAACCCCTGCCCCAGGGGCTGCAGGTGACACTACAGCTATTATTCATTCATTCAACAAGTGTTGATTAAACATCTGTTATCAGCTAAACTCTGTGAAGGCCAAGAAAATTAAGATTTGAATTCAAGTCACCTGGCTCAGATAAGCTTCATCTTTAGGTAATGGAGGATATAATTGCTAAGTCACTATCAGTGATGTTTACTAATATTTGAGAGCCTTGTCTTCAGGTAATTTGCAGTTTAGCGAATGTATTACAATATGCATTCAAATACTCAACTCATACTCTTCAATGGATCTGTGATCTTATTGATATGCTTCCTCCTTCAATCAAAGCTATATTATCATTGCTTCTGGAAAGAACATGTCAATCAACTGCCTTAATTCATCATTCACTATCTCTGTGACCTCCAAGACCAAAACAGTCTTCCCTAGCCACACTTCTCCAAAGGTGCTGTCTCCTCCTATAAGAATGTATGCTTCTTGAGGTCAAGAATCATTTCTCTTTTGGTTTCATATCCTCAGAGTGCTTTTTCATTCAGATAAAGCAACCCAGGTTATATGACTTGTCCTCTCATAAGTCACCATAAATTCAATTTTTTTTTAAAAAAAATGAATGTTAAAAATTGTTCTTACAGTTAATTGGGGAAAAAATAAAACATCATTTAAAAAAAAAATTGGCCATAGAAGGTTAATCCAGCATACCAAGGATAAGGGAATAGGAGGGTCTTCTTTGCTTGTCGTTATTCATAGGCCAATGTAGCACACAAGTTGTTCATTGGTTGTCCCTTTTTTCTACCATGGGAACAAACCATCTTTTATGCTTGTGCACATGTGCAGAATAGAGATTGATTTTTAAAAATTATAAGAGAGTTTAAAAAGTGATATAGCAAGGAGAAATTATTTTCTTAAAAAATGGGTGAGGGGGCAAATATATATCTAAATTCTGAATATCTGAGGGGTCAAAATTCAAGGTTTTTTAAAATGTTTGCCTACTTTTAACCATTTTTTAAAATCCTGAATTTTGCCCCCTCTGACAAGAAGAATGACCTTTGCACTTAAAACAACAGAATTGGGGAGCCACTGAATCATAGATCTTAGAGATCATAGAACAAAAATGGCTAATAGGGAATATGAATATTCAAGCTAAGTAGGGGGATAGTAAGAGAGTATCTAGCTGCCTTAGATGAATTCAAGTCCCCAGGACCAGATGAATGACATTTTGAGTAATGAAAGAGCTGAGACATATATTTGCTGAACTGCTGTTAGAGGTATTTGTGAGTAATGTTTGAAAGATGATGAAGGATGGGAAAAGGGCAAATGTGCAAATTTTTTTTTAAAAAAGGAGAAGGGATGTGGTAATTAGGGTTTTCCAACTCTAGGCCAGTAAACTTGACTTCAATTCCTGGGGAAATTCTAGAATAGGTCATAAAAGAGATGATTGGTGAATATCTGGAAAAAGAAGATCTGGGAAACAGAAATGCAAATGAAAACAGACATAGAAAGGGAAACTACATGCCAGATTTACCTTATTTCCTTTCTTTTCAGGATTACTAAACTAGTACTCAGAGGAATGCTATGGAAATAGCACATCATTTAATAAATAATAAAATGTGTCATATTCTTCTACATTTTATTCTAATCATACTATTCTAATCCACTTTCTACCCAATTGTCGGATTGATCTTCCTAAAACACAATTTGTTATACACCTCCCCCATCACCTTTCAATAAACTAGAGTTTCTTCCAGATTAAATATAAACTCCCTTGTTTGGCTTTTAAGGCCTTTATATCCTGTCTTCTTCCAACATTTCCACTCTTCTTAAACCTTCCTCCTCCCTCCACACCTTGTCATATACTCTAAGACCCAATGACACCACCATCCTTGTGGTTCCACACATAAGATACTCCACCTCCTGACTTCAAGCATTTTCACGGGTTGTCCCCCATGCCTGGAATGCTCTCTCTTCTGACCTCCACCTCCTGGCTTCCTTGGCTTCCTTCAAGCCTCAGCTGAAGTCTTACCTTCAGCAAAAAGTCTTTTCCCATCCTCCTTAATGTTAGTGTGTTCCCTGGGAGACTACCCCAAATCCATCCTGTTTATATCTTCTTTGTATATACTTGTTCTCAAGCTGTCTCTTTCATTAGACTGTGAGCCCCTTGAGAGCAGGGACTATTATTTTGGGGTTTTGACTTCTTTTTTTTGTATAACTATCACTTAGTACAGTGCCTGGCATATAATAGGTGCTTAGTAAATGTTAGCTGATTGACTGATTCTTGTGGAGAGGATGGAGAAATGTAGACTAAACAATAATACAATTAGATGGATTCAGAACTGGTAGAATAATCAGCTCAAAGACTAGTCATTAATGGTTTGATGTCAGCTTGGCAGATGGTCTCCAGGGCATCACCACAGGGATCTGTGTTTGGGCCCAGTGCTAGGTAACATTTTTATTAATGACTTGAATTAAGGTGTAGATGCCATGTTCCTCAAAGATGACACAAAACTAAACGGGAGAGCTAATATATTGAATGACTGAGCTAGGATATCAAATGGTCTCTTGACAGCCTAGAGCAGAGGTCTCCAAATTGTTTGATCATGGACCCCTATCAGTAAAACATTTTTGGGCATGTGCCACCAAAATATATTTATTTACTCTTAAAGTATTCGATATCCCACTGTGTAATTTACTCTTGTCCAACCCAAAGCAAAAACCAAGGCTGGGAGGTGGGGAATTGGGGGTGGGGTAGGTAAGGCTCTTATTCATTGGTCACTGCCCCAAGGTGCAAGGGTCACTCTCTAAAAGCTTCCTGCTATAGCCACAAGGTGATATGTGGATTAGGAGGTGAGTATGCTAGGGAGTGGGGAAGAGTAATTTTCCCATTGGCACCTATGCAGTTGCTGTTGTGACTACTTGGTTATGTTAGGTTGTAATTGCCCTGTGGGCTGATGCCAGAGCAGAAAGAGAATTGAACACAATAGTGGGAAGGGGCTTGAGTGGGGTAATATTGAGTGGATAGTGGGTAAGGGGTAGGTGCAATTGTATTGAAATAAATGAATAAATCATTTCTTTTTTTTCTTTTTTCTTTTTTGGCAATTGGGGTTAAGTGACTTGCCTAGAGTAACACAGCTAGTATCAAGTGTTTGATCTGAGGCCAGATTTGAACTCAGATCCAGCGCTCTATCCACTACGCCACCTAGCTGCCCTGAACAAATCATGTAAGTGATTACCATGGGCATGCAAAAAAGGGACTGGATTTGTTGTTTAGTCCTAAAGGGCAGAACCAAGAGCAAGAAGTGAAAGTAACATGAAGGCAAATTTAGGTTTTATGTCAGGAAAATACATCCTAACCATTAGAGCTATCCATAAGTGAACTGGCTGCCTTGGGAGGTTGTGGGCACCCCCGTGTTGGACATCTTCAAGCAGAAGCCGAACATCCATTTATTGAGACTGTAGCAGTGAGGACCCCTTTCAGCGATGGGTTGGACTCTGTGACCTTTGAAATCCCTTTGAACCCTGAAATTCTGTTATTTACAAGAGAAAGAGATGACAGAGACGGGGAAGCCCTGACATGGGCAGAATGAAGCTCCCTGTAGCTTCTTCTACCCAAAACATCCAGTAATGATGAAGTGAAATCATGGTTCTAGACGGAAGGGACCTCAGAGGTTAACTAGTCCAGCTCCCTCTTTTTGAAAATGGAGGCCAAGGGAGGTAGAGTCACTTCCTAATTAGTCTCCTTGTCTTAAGTCTCCCTCTGACCACTTTGATGAGACCTCCAAGTCTCCTTGGATTACAAGGCATGGGCCTTTGTTAAGAGAGAAGCTCTCACAGAAGGAGGCATGTTCCTAGCAGTCTGCTGAGAAGAGACCAAGGAATCCTCTGACTCATCCCAGTAACTGGAGCTGCCTCCAAGATGATTCGGAAGGGAAGACAGAGTCTTGATGGAGGAACCTTCCTTTCCCCTTGTGTCTATAAAAGCAAGCTAACCACCCTTTTCTTTTCCAGATTTTTCTCCCTCTTCGACTTCCAAACAAAAGTGCAGCAAGGGGTATTGGGACGGGAGATGGGAAGAAGATATCTTCCTTTTCTTCACCATGCCTGTGAGCAGAAAACAGTAGTTGTCTGAGTTTACTCAGATAAGACAGAGAGAGGAATTCCTGGACTTCCCATCCTGGTTGCCTTCTTTTGCCTTTGTATTTCCTCTTCTGAGCATAGATCAGGAATTAGATTTACTGAAAGGAGAAATAAAGTGTGTAAGCATTTATTAAGCACCTACTATGTGCCAGGCACTATGCTAAGCACTTTACAAATTACTATCTCATTTGATCCTCAAAAAAAAAATCCTGTGAAATAAGTGGTATTATTTCCATTTTACAGTTGAGGAAACTGAGGCAGACAGAAGTTAACTGACTTGCCTATGGTCACATAGCTAGTATGTATCTGAGGCCACATTTAAACTCAGGTCAGCCAAGTGGATGGAATTCTGGGCCTGAGATCAGGACGACTCCTCTTCCTGAGTTCAAATATGGCCTCAGACACTTACTAGCTGTGTGACCATAAGCAAGTCACTTCACCCTGTTTGCCTCCATTTCCTCATCTATAAAATGAGCTGCAGAAGAAAATGGCAAACGTCTCCAGTATCTTTGCCAGAAAATAAAAGACACACACACACACACACACACACACACACACACACACATACACACACACACACACACACACACACACACAAATCCAAATGGACTTATGAAGAACTGAACATAATTGGAAAACAACTCAGCAACAAACTTCCAGGTTTCAAACATCGTGTTCTATTTACTATGCCAACTAGCTTCCTCTGAAGATGGATGTTTCCAGTTGTTGGAGTTGTCTCTTAGGTAAACCTGAGTTATGAGTTCTTAAGTTTGAGAACTGGGTACAATCCTTCTAGAGGGAGAAAATTTCTTCAGCAGTGTGTAATTCAGAGAAGGAAGAGGACTGCCCTGATGCTAAAGGTCTAAGGCAATACCATGAAGGCCTAGGAAATATGGAACCTTGCCAGTCCTCCATGATATCACTTTGAGTTGCTAGGGTAGTGAGGTGCTAGGTGAACAAGTAACATTGTTCAACAGGCCTTCAAAATGTCTCTCCTTCTCATGGAAGTCTTATTGGACTGTTTTACTGCATTGTGTTTCTATATTTGTTCATAGATTTTGGTGAGTCATTTACATAAAGTCTGGCTGTCTCATGCCCAATATCCGTATTGTATATACACTGAGTGACTGTGTGGAAATTGAAGACGTTGTTACTTATTTTGGGGGAAACACAGACATGAGCTATACTTATGCTTTCTTCAGATTTCCCAGGAATTTTACTCTAGGGTAAAAGCAATGAAATTAGAGGTGATCCCTCAGGGGTCACACCCCAAGTATGGGACTTGGATCCATATAAGCTCATGAAATCCTTTTGGGCTATGGTGAACAGAGGGGAGAAGAGAGAAGAGGTGAAAGACAAGTGTGAGAAGAATGAAAAAGGAGAATAGAGAACACAGGAGAGAGGGAAAGTGGAAGCAAAGAAAGAAAATAAAGGATAGAAGAGACTGGGTACAAGACAGAAAAAAGCATAGAGAAAGGAGACAGAGGAGAGCCTGGACTGGTCTCATATGTGTCTAATACTCAGTCATATAGCATCAAGGGGTTTTCCAATGCTAGGCAGTCATATTGAAAGATCCGAAGGAAAGACAGACATAAGAAAGAGGAGAGAGGCAAGAGAGAAAGCAAGTAATCTAGTGTGACTGAAGCATCATGATGTTTGTGGAGGATTAAGCTATCCAAGTTTGTATAGACTGAATAGGAAGGAAGGTTGAGTAGAGGGGAATATTAGAGGCAGGGATGCCAGTTAAGAAGCTAGAGGAATAGTCCAAGTGACAGATAAAGAGGGGCCTGTACTAGGTTGGAGGCAATAGAAATACGAGGAGAGTGTCAACCAATTCTTCATATTCTCACAAACCAAACAAGAAAATAAGTTATAGACTGATGGAATTAAGTTAGATGTAGGGAAGAACTTTTAGAATTTAGTCTCTCCTTTTGCTCAGAAGTACGCTGACATTCTGATTGTGTAGATCCTCAAGGATTCAATTCAACCAATATTGAGGCCTCAACTCCATCGTTGACCAGTAATGAAGCCCTGCCCCGGGGCTGGCCAACAGCAAGACCCTGCTTCTGCTACCAGCAGAGAGGCCCTGCTTCCATAGCAACCCAGCAGCAGGCCTCCATCCCTGGAGAAGACCAGCAACAAAATCCCTCCTCCTGGGCCATCCACTACAAAGACTTTGTTACCGTAGCAACCTAGCAGCAAGGCCTCACCCCTGGAGCAGGTCAACAGGGATGCCCCACCCCCCAGTACAAGCCAGAAGGGAAGCCTACCCTCCAGAGAAAGCAAGCAATTAAGCCCTGATGCCCAGTGAAAGCCAGCAGTGAGACCCAGAGCCCCAGCAACAAAAAGATTGGAACAGTGAAGGACCAGAGCCCAACTCTCACATAAAAATACCAAGTCATAAAAAAGGCAGAAAATGAGCAAAAAAAACCAACAAAAAACAAAAAAAGAACTTGACTATAGAAAGTTACTGTGGTGATAGGGAGGATCACGGCATAAATTTAGAAGTGGACAATAGTGTCAACATGGTTACATGTGAAGCCTCATAGAAAAATGTAATTTGGTTGCAGGCCCACAAAGAATTCCTACAGGAGCTTAAAAAGAATTTTGAAAAGCAAATTAGAAGTGGGTAGAGCACCGGCCCTGTAGTCAGGAGGACCTGAGTTCAAATCTGGCCTCAGATCAAACACTTGACACTTACTAGCTGTGTGACCCTGAGCAAGTCACTTAACCCCAATTGCCTTAAAAAAAAAGAGAGAAGTAAAAGAAAAACTGGGAAAAGAAAAGAGAATAATGCAACAGAATCATGAAAAAAGAGTCAACAGTATAGGAAAAGATATACAAAAATTTACTGAGGAAAATAACTCCATAAAAAAAGAATTGGCCAAATGGTAAAGAAAGTACAAAATCTCACTGAAGAAAATAATTCCTTAAAAATTATAATTGATCAAGGAGAAAGTATTGCAAACAGAAACAATTAAAATATCATGGAGCTACAGTCATTATTACACAGGATTTGGCAGCTTCCACACTAAAGAACTGGAGGGATTGGAATACAATGTGCTAGAAAGCAAAGGAGTTAAGATTACAACCAAGAATAACCTACCAGGCAAAATTGAATGTAATCTTTCAGGGGAGGAAATGGATATTTAATGAAATAGAGGACTTTCAAGTGTTTCTTTCTTTTTTTTTTTTGGCTAGGCAATGGATTTAAGTGACTTGCCCAGGGTCACACAGCTAGTAAGTGTTGAGTGTCTGAAGTCAGATTTGAACTCACACCCTTCTGACTCCAGAGCTGGTGCTCTATCCACTGCACCACCTAGCAGTCCCTCAAGCATTTCTAATTAAAAGACCAGAGCTAAATAAAAACATTAATCTCCAAATACAAGATTCAAAGGAAACACAAAAAAATTAAAAAAGAAACAAGAAAGAGAAAACATAAGAAATCCAATAAGGTTAAGCTGCTTGTATTTTTTTTTATATGGCAAGATAAAATTTGTAACTCTTAACAACTTACTACCATAAGAGCAATTAGAAGATGTATATGTAGACAGAGGGTGTGGATATAAGGTGACTTTGATGGGATGATACCCAAAAAAACAAAATAAAAGGGTGAGAAAGAAAATTGCGTTGGAAGAAGAAGGAGGGGGGAGATTGAATGGAGTGAATTATCCAACATAAAAGAGGCATGAAAGAGCAATTATAATGGAGGGGGGAAATGGGGAGGAGGGAGGTGGCAGGCAAAGCTTAAACCTTATTCTCATCAAAATTGGCCCAAAGAGGGAATAACATATACACTAAGTTGGATATAGAACTCTAGCCTTATCCTATAAGGAAGTTCAGCAGCAAGAAGTCGAAAGAGAAATTCCATTTAAAACAACAATATAAAATACTTGGGAATCTACCTGCCAGGACAAACCCAGGAACTATGTAAATAAAACTATAAAACACTTTACACACAAATAAAGTCAAATCTAAACAACTGGAAAATATTAATTGCTCATGGGTAGGCTGAGCTAATATAATAAAAATGACAATTTTACTTAGATTATTCTATTTATTCTGTTCCATAGTGATCAAACTATCAAAAAAGTATTTTATGGAGCTAGAAAAAATAATAACAAAATTCATCTGGAAGAACAAAAGCTCAAGGATATCAACGAAATCAATGAAAAAAGAAATCTGAAAAAAGGTCTAGCCATAGCAGATCTCAAACTTCACTATACAGCAGTAATTATCAAAACAATTTGGTACCAATAACAATTGGCTAAGAAATAGAGTGGTGGATCAGTGGAACAGATTAGGTACAAATTACATTATAAGGTCAAAATGGGTATATGATTTACACATAAAGAGTGATACCACAAACAAAGTAAGAAAGCATGGAATAGTTTATCTGTCAGATTTATGGATAAGGGAAGAATTTAAGACCAAAGAAAACACAAAGAGCATTACAAAATGTAAAATAGATAATTTTGATTATATAAAATTAAAGAGTTTTTGCACAAACAGAACCAGTGCAACCAAAATTATAAGGAAAGCAGAAAACTGGCAGGGCGAGGAAATTTTGCAACAAGTATCTCTGATAAAAGCTTCATTTCTCAAATACATAGAGAACTAAGTCAAATTTATAAAAATACAAGTCATTCCCCAATTGATAAATGGTCAAATGATATGAACAGGCAGTTTTCAGACAAAGAAATCAAAGCTATCTATAGTCATATGAAAAAATGCTCTAAATCACTATTGATCAGAGAAATGAACATTAAAACAATTCTGAAGTACCACCTCACAGCTATCAGAGTGGCTAATATGACAAAAAAGGAAAATGTTGGATGTTGAAGGGGATGTGGGAAAACAGGGACATTAATTTATTGTTGGCGGAATCATGAACTGATCCATTCTGGAGAACAATTTGGAACTGTGCCCAAAGGGCTACAAAAACTATGTATACCCTTTGATCCAGCAATACCATTACTATGTTTATATCCCAAAGACATCAAAAAAGGGAAAATGATTTATTTGTACAAAAAACATTTATAGCAGCTCTTTTTGTGATGGCTAAGAATTGAAAATCCAAGGGATGCCCATCAATTGGGGAATGGCTAAACAAGCTGTGGTATATGACTGTGATGGAATATTATTGTACTATAAGAAATGACAAACAGGATGATTTCAGAAAAACCTGGAAAGACTTGCATGAACTGAAGCATAGTGAACAGAATGAAAAGAACGTTGAACATAGTTACAGCAACATTGTTCAAAGAATTGTAAGACTTAGCTATTCTCGGTAACACAATGATCCAAGACAATCCCAAAGGACTAAAGAGGAAGCATACTATCTGCCTCCAGAGAAAGAACTGATATTGATTGAATGCAGACTGAAGCATGCTATTTTTCACTTTCATTTTTTTCTTTTATTCAAGTCTTCTTGTACAAAATGGCTAATATGGAAATGTTTTACGTGATTGTACACGTATAACCATATCTTACCATCTCAGGGAAGGAGGAAAGGAAAAAGGGAGAGGGATAGAATTTGGAACTCAAAACTCTAAATAATCTTTTTTTAAAGTGGAAAAAAAGAAACTCATTAAATCCCTCTATAGTCATTTTTTACAAATCAACAAATATTAAGCTCTTGCTATGTGTAGAGCACTGTGCTATGGAAGAGATATAAAGCAGTCTCTGCTCTTACGGAACTTATAGTTAGGGGGTGGAGTTTGGCATATACATGAATAAAAATGATACTTTTTAAAATAAAGTTTATATTTTACTGATGTATAAACCCTCTCCACTAAGACAAAACAGCAACTCATCTGTAATTTATGTGGAGTTTGGCACATACATGAATAAAAATAGTACTTTTTTAAAATAAAGTTTATATTTTACTGATATATAAACCATCTCCACTAAGACAAAACAGCAACTCATCTGTAATTTATGATCTTAGAGAGTTTCCCCATACAATGGTTGCATAGCTAGTATGTGCCAAAGTAGGATTTGAATTCAGGTCTTTGCTACTCCAAGATTGACCTTCTGTCCACTAATCCATGTTGCCTCTCATAAGACATAATAATGCATGATAAGTGCAGCTGAGGGATGTAGACAAAAGGAATTCAAAGAGTAGAAAGTTTATTACCTTGTGAGGAGATCAGCTACGGTTTTCTAAAGGTAGCATATCAGTTGGGCTTTGAAGAATGGCTAGGATTCTGCAAGGAAAGGAGAAAGAAGATGGAGATCACAGATGTAGAGTTGGAAGTCAACCAGTCAACAAGCAGTTATTAGGTACAGTTATTACTTATTAGGTATGCCAGGAGGGCAGCTAGGTGGTGCAATGGATAGAGTGCCAGGCCTGGAGTCAAGACAATCCAAGTTCAAATCCAACCTCAGATACTTACTAGATGTATGACCCTGGGCAAGTCATCTAATCCTGTTTGCCTCAGTATCCTCATCTGTCAAAAGAGCTGGAGAAGGAAAGGTATCTTTGCCAAGAAAACCCCAAATGGGGTCACAACGAGTCAAACATGACTGAACAACAATAACATATGGCAGACACTGTGTTAAGTTCTGGGAATATAGACACAAACAGAAAGGACCTTTCATTCTGTTTGGGGAGTGGGGAGGAAGGGACAATACATAAACAAGAGCTGAAAAGTGAGGGAAGGGGGGGTGTGTGGTTTAAAGCACCCAGCTGGGGTCATGGAAAAGTCCTACAGAGATGAATCAGCAGTGCAGCCTGGAAGGGAATGAAGACATGGTTGGCCTGGACCTCTTCCTTAAAATGATGGTTCTGGGAGGAACCAGCTAATCAGAAAGAGAGGCCATAAGGGTGGATGGGAGTTCCAATGGAAGGGACCTCAAAGGAAATTGGCAAGTGGCTTATCCAAGGGCATAAAGGCGGTAAAGTAGCAGAAGAAGGTCCTCTGACACCCAGAACCAACACACATTGTCCATTGAATCATAGGACCTCTAAAACAAAGCTTTAGACTATAGAAGTATAGGAGTCAGACTAGTTGACTCCTCCAGGTCCCTGTAAGCTCTGGGTTTCCCTGAGTCAAAGGGATTGATGAGTACACAGCCTATTTAGCGGAAAAGGGAAAGGATAATTTCCTAACCTTGATGTGCAACTTGGAGCTCTATTTAGTGGCTAATGATCAAAGGGCCCTCTGTGGCCTCTGAAGCAGAGGGTTGGGGAAGCTTGAAGCTCCTAAAATGGCTTTCAATGTTGAGAAAGTCAAGCCACCGTAGTTAAATTTTACTAGTTAATCTGAAGGAGATCTCTCTGAAGTACTTTGTCTGAGCCTTTCGGGGCTAATTCATCCTGATAGTTGTTAGGCTGCAGTCTCAGTCCAAAAGTGAAATATAGAATCACTGCCACCTGCAGGTCAGGAATTGAAAAATGCCGTATGCTAATGAAGGTGCCCCCGCTGCTGACCTCCTGGTGTATTATGGGTAAACCTCCTGGTGTATTATGGGTAACACCTTGGCCACATTGTTGGGTTATCACAGCTCATTAGCTTTCATGGGACCTTCTCGACATTGCCTGGCCCATGTACAGTTTTGACAGGAGGATTATCTTAATTGGTATAGGTGGTTTAGGTGATACCACAACCTTAATGTCTAAACTCAGCAAGAATAACTGAGAGATGAGCAATGCAGCTTACAGAGCTTGGTCTCTACCTAGAGTGTTAAAACCCAGATTCTTTGTGACATGCTCTATGCCAATTGTGGTATAGTCAAGACTTCCTCTGAGTAGGCAACTATTGGCATCTCTGACACTCCTCTTAAGAGGAATTTAGAGCAATAGATGTTCAGCCGCTTCTTTGGGCAGACTTTGGATTAATAAAGTCTTGAAGTCCATTTCCCATGCCCCCAGAGCCTTCTGGAGTTAGTTTGAAGACGAGAGAGTAGAACAGGGAAAAAAAGGTCCCTGTATATTCTAAAATATTCATAACAGCACTTTTTGTGGTAACAAAGACCTGGAAACAAAGTGGGTGCCCATCGATTGAACAAACTGTGGTATATGAATGCAATGGAATATTATTGAGCTACAAGAAATGACAAATAGGAAGAATTCAAAGAAACACTGGAAGATCTGCATGAAGTCGTGCCGAGTGAAGAGAGAGATATCAATGAAAACAATGTGCACAAATGATTATGGTAATATAAATAAAAACAACATTAAAAGGGAGCTGAACCTAGATTAAAAGCGATGATTAATATTGGTTTCAGAGAATGAGACATTCTGAGGGGAGGGGGGAGGAGTTGTATAAGGATAGTGGGGAGAGGGCTGGAAAGGGGTAAGATGCTAACAGGTACAGATGCAGTTTCTGGGCCAGTTGGTTTTACATGATTATTTCTCTTTGTTACAAGGGATGATTTGTTTGAGGGTGTGGAAAAGTTTTATAGGTAATCTTGTCCTGTTAAAAAAAAAAGACATTAATAAAACAAACCCCAAAAAGATAGCAGCAAGGAATATGGCAGACAGGGCCCTAACATACTACTCTATGGAAAGATGTTAATAAGGATGCATAAGGACAGGGTGACAGAAAGGATATTAAAGAGGCAATAAGCCGGTCAGTGATAGGAGAATGTGGCCCCTTCCAGGAAAGATGCCATTGTTTGGGACATTCCTTACTCCATAAAATAATGTCCCTGTTGCTTAGAAATGTGATGCTTAAGCCTGGATTGGTAAAATTAGTATGTCTGGAAGGATAGATATCACAGAGGAGAATGTTGTTCCAGTTAAACATGATGAAGGAAATCAGGGAAACTGATGAGAGAAGGTACCTGTGGAAGCCAAGACAATAGAGACACAGAATCTCATGGAGCTGAGAAGTCACCAGAGCTAAGAGGCAGACCGGAGCTGAGTACAATCGACAAGGTAGATGCTTTTGCTGTTGGGAGCTGATGTGATTGAAAGAAAGCTCTGTCATTTGAAAGAACTGATTTGATGATAGGAGAATATGCCTCTGTAGGTAAAGAACAGGCAGGGGTAGGGATTGGGGGAAGGCTGCCTTGCTTTCTACAGTCATCTACAGCTTCTATCTCTTCCTCCACTGCAAAAAAAGGCTTACCTGCATTGCCTTTACTGACTTCTGTGGCTCAAGAGAGGAAAACCCACTTCAGATACTTACCCATTTTGTGACCTTGATCTCTGCACATCAGTTTATCATCTATGAAATAAGGAGTCGGATTAGTCGGGCTTTAAGGGCAAGCCTAAATCTATACCATCACCCCATGAATCCCTCAAAGACTACAGGGTTTAAGATTTGAATGGATTGTGTCTACCTCTTCTCTCCATTCATACAGATAGTATATTTAAACACTCAATATCTCTAAACTATTAATCTGGACTAGCTTCCCCATTGGTTTTGTTCAAGAGTCTCCCTCTCCAATCCATTCTCCACATGTCTGTTACTTCTCAGGATTCGGCAGGCATGCTTTTGAAGTTTGAACCTAGGATGGGTTAATGTTAAGCAATCTCTCCAGTGGTACTGCCTTCTTGAGTGGCCCAACCTAAAAAAGAGGGAGAAACAAGAGGCTTTATCTAGGCAGGAGATACTAATTCAGTTATTAGAATTAGAGGATTGATAAGGAGATGAATGATCAGCCCTTTTGAATCCTGGTTAGGAAATATCAAGAGAAGAATAAGAAAAAGGCAATAAAGACTTTGGTCCCAACATCTGCTGAGCTTCCACCAACTCCTTTATACCCTAACCTTATGCAACATAAAGGTTATGGGGAGAAGCTCTCCAAATTTGTTCCATTATTACCATTTAACCAAAAGAGGATCAGAGACCCTAGGTCAAGGAGATGGTTTATTCAGGGAAAATAAAACCTTGGGGGTCTAGTGGGCTCAAGCAGTCAGATAACTCATCCTTGGAGAATCTCATTTCAGTTAAAAATAAAATCCCAAATGAAGTGGAAGATTCAAAGGGAGTCATCACATAGGGAACAAAGACAATTGTCCAGATACAAGTGGGAGGACCACCAGTAGTATGTGCCTCTACTATAGTTACAAATTAACCTGATTAAAACAGTGGGGATGAATTTGTTGGGTTTGTGGGAATTGGTCCTAGTTCAGGCTGTTGTTTCATCACACCAGCCCATCATAACGTGGAAAGTTCATTGGAAGCTTTTCGATGTGCCCCAAACATCAATCCCTGGAAGGCATTGCTGTGATATGTACCTTCATGGCAGACTTTAGTAGAACAGGTAGCAGGGCCAGAGATGGGCTAAGCCTATAACCACTGGTACCAACAACTTTCATGAAAAGGTCAGTGACCTCCCTAAGGGTAAAATTCCCAGTGAATGTTTTTCACTTTCACTGTCTCCTCTGGCCAGCAAGATTTCAACACTCCACACTGCTCTGGTGTTTGGTTTACAGACAGATCCACCCATTATGGGCTTGCTATCCCCTAGTGGTTTTCTTCTGAATTCAGCACTGTGGACCCACAGTAAATGACTGCTTCCAGGAAACCAGAACAATCTCCTTAGCTATCATGGTTTCTGAAACAGGCTGTTCATAGTGGGACTGGGCCATGTTCAGCTGATTAGTAGCCCACAGACAATCATGAATTCCCAATTCTTTCAGATAACAAGCATCTCCCCTCTCCTGCTTCCATATTGGAACAAAGAATTTGTTCTTAGAGGCTGATTCCTGTCCAAACCCACAAGAACTGAGATATAGGTCTCCTATCCCTATAGGGCCTTGCAAAATGGAAAGGGGAGGGAGGGTCGTTTGTTAATTCCCTCAGCTTATGAATTTAGCCTCAGTAAATAAATCAATGTTAGTTCCCAAGGCCATTAAACAAACGAGACCAGCCTCTTCACCTTCTGGCAATATTTAGCTTTCAAGTACCTTATTTCCTTCCTGGAATACTCCTTAATCTCTTCCAATTCATCATCCCCTATGAGAACAGGTTTTGGGGGTGGTTATGCTGGCTCTCAGTCTTTGAGAAAACCCGGGACTGAGGGCAGGATGAATAGGAGGAGCCAACCCAGGGAGAATCTTCGTCACTCTACTCCCCACCCTTTCCCCAAATTTCACCTCTAATAATTCAAATTTCCTGGAGCAACAAGTTCAGTTAGGGTACTGTTCCAGATTTTCAGGGGGACCATCTTCAACTAAGCCAAACCAAAATCTACCAATTATTCCTGCAATTTCTATGCACAAACAGATAGCTTGGCCTCATTTAGTTTCACTTCTGTTAAAACAGCAGCCAGATTTTCAATAGCAATTAGCAACAGCCGGAAAATGGTGAAGTGAGTAATGTTTTACCCCCTTGTTTCTTCTCTCACAGAATCCAAACGGCCATCTCCTCTAGGTTTCCAACTTATTCTATGGGTGCAATCCATCCCACAAAGCCTACATTTCCTGTGCCATCAAATCATAGAGACAGATATTGGGCAGTCATCACAGTAATAGGATTACTCCTTCCTTCCTTCCTTCACCACTTTCATCCCTTCTCCTGCTAATCCATGAACCCATTGTCAACATCACGATATCCTGCTAACTATAGCCAGATATCTTAGGCTAGATGCTCAATGACCCTAAATGCAAGTTTGTGATCTGAAAAGATTGAACTAATGAGGCAGAAAATTTAAAAAAGATTACTAATCTTACATTCAGAACCACTGCTTTCTTTACATTAAGAACCTGGTCTCAGGAACTGGGACACTTCACCTATCCCCTTTCCAATAATGGACCTATGTGCTCTTGAACAGTGCAAGTGATCCATACTGGATTCTGTCCTAGGGATCCTGGTCTATAATGACAAGGATTAGGTTCATTTTTTCCCCATTCCTTAACTTATTAACACCCTCCTGGTTCCTTAGAGATTGTTCACTTAAAGCTTAGGTTTTGGCTCAAGTCTATGGTATCCTCAAAAAAGAGTAATTGTAAAGTACAAAATGTGCAATGTGACTCAGGTATGGGACAGATATTTATCTCTTACACACAAAAGAAATGCTGAATACAAAACACTCACAATCCCACAGACAGAAAAGCCAAAAACAGGTTTCAGTAACTTATAACTATTCCCATGCTCTCACAGGTAGATGTCTCTCAATGTAGATGTCTTTCAGCAAGCCATGCTAGGGATTGAGTTCAGCCTCTGACAAGTGGCCAGCTTCTCTAAGAATCCTGGAGTGGTTGCCAGGGACTCTTTCCCTTGACACCAGTCAGTCCTGATGGAAGGTCCCAGGCCACCAAATCTTTCATTTAACCTATCCCCATTCTGAGGCTCCATGACCAAGGGCCATTATGAGCTTTAAAAATCACTAAGATCATGCAGCCTAAGCAACCTCTTGGGGCCTAAGGCCTGGGAAAAACAAATAAACCTAAAACAAATTACTTAATATATATGGGGATAAGTTCCACTACATCTCCCCATACACCCTTAGGAATAGTATACGTTTTGAGAAATAGCTGAACAGGGTAAGGGGTAGGTCTCTGTACTTTAGGTGGTTGTGATTTTAGACTTTCTATGACCTACTCATTTAATCTAGTCTCAGAGCGATAAGGGATAAAAGAGGTCATGTAAGTCAATATGATTCAGTGTTACAGAATCTTGGATTAGGAAGGGCCCTTAATTGTCTTCTAGCCCAATTTCCTACCTGCATAAATCCCTTTCTATATCAACCAAATAATCTTTAAGCCCTTGTTTGAATACCTCCAGTGATGGGGAAGTCACAATCTATTGAAGTATATCATTCTATTGTTAGATGGCTCTAATCATTAGGAGGGCAGCTATGTGGTATGGTGGATAGAATGTCAGCCTGGAGTCAGGAAGATTGAGTTCAAATACAACCTCAGCCACTAGCTGTGTGACCCTGGAAAAGTCACTTCACCCTATTTGCCTCATTTTCCTCATCTGTAAAATGAACTAGAGAAGAAAATGGCAAACCCTTCTAGCATCTTTGACAAGAAATCCCCAAATAAGGTTATAAAGAGTAGGACATGACTGAAATGACTGAATAATAACAAAAAATCATTAGGAAGACCTTCCTTAAATTAAGCTAAAACCAGCCTCTTTGGCAAACTTTGCCAACTTTGTTCTGTTGCGCCTAGTTCTGCCTTTGGGGCCACTCAAGCAACCTGAAGTCTTTTTTTGGTTTTTTCCCACACTTAATAGTATTTTATTTTTTCCTATTACATGTAAAGATAGCTTTCAACACTCAGTTTTATAAGATTTGGAGTTCCAAATTTTTTCTCCCTCCTCCCCTCAAGATGGCAAGCAATCTGATATAGGCTATACATGTACAATAATACAAAACATATTTCTACATTTGTCATGTTGTGAAAGAAGAATCAGAACAAAAGGGGAAAACCGTGAGAAAGAAAACAACAAAAAGAGGGAGAGAAAATAGTATGCTGTAATCTGCATTCAAACTTCATTGTTCTTTCTCTGGATGTGGATAACATTCTCCATCATAAGTCTTTTGGAATTGTCTGAGATCATTGTATTCCTGAGAAGAGCCAAGTCTATCAAAGTCAGTCATTCCATAATGTGGCTGTTACTGTGTACAATGTTCTCCTGGTTCTGCTCACTTCACCCAGTGTCAGTTCATGCAAGTCTTTCCAGGTTTTTCTGAAATCTGCCTGCTCATCATTTCTTATAGAACAATAGTATTCCATAACATTCATATACCACAACTTGTTCAGCCATTCCTTAATTGACGGGCATCCCCTCCAATTCCAATTCTTTGCCACCGCAAAAAGAGCTGCTATGAATATTGTTGTACATGTGGGTCCTTTTACCTTTTTTATGATCTCTTTGGGATACAGACCTAGTAGTGGTATTACCTGATCAAAGGGTATGCACAATTTTATAGCCTTTTGGGCATAGTTCCAAACTGCTCTCCAGGATAGTTACATCAGTTCACAACTCCACCAACAATGCATCTAATGTCTCTTTTGAAAAACAGGCTTTCAAATACTGGAAGATACCTATCTTAACCCCAAGTCCTACCACTAATACTTTCCTTTCTGCGATAAACTGGTTGCTTCAACTTTTCCTTATATTCCATATCTTTCAAATCCTTCACCACCCTGGTCACCCTCCAATGGATGTAATCTAGATGGTGAAACCACTTTATATATCTTAAAATCTTATTAAGTTCTGCTTTAAAAGGTTTTTTTTATTATATTCTAGTAAGCTTATATTTGTAACTGGGAATGAGTCTTTATCAGAAAGCTGATGTAACTATACTAAATCTGAGACTTGTTGCTGCAGGGCAATTGTTAATGAGTAAGTTTAACCACTGTGCTTAAATTAAATGAATAAAGCAGCCATGGAATCTTCTGTCCTGGGGATTCGAGCTATTGTCAAGGGAAGGTCCTGTACTGCCATGATCTTTCAGTTTTTGCTCATGGTTGGAGGCATTCCAAGAACAAAGGAGCTGGGGGACATAGTACAGCTACCCTTTCTAGGAGATCACAGATTTGGTGCTAGAAGGAGCCTTACAGGCCAACAAGGCCAATCCCTCTAATTTACAGATGA